TAGCAGCTAAAATAAATTAAGTCATGTTAGCTAACTTTTTGGGTAGCAGCTAAAATGTTTTAAGTCATGCTAGCCAACAATTTGGTTAGCAGCTACAACATATGGGAAGCAGTTAAATAAGGTCTGGCTAGCTAACTTTTTAGCTAGCAGCTAAAATGTATTAAGTCATGCTAGCCAACAATTTGGTTAGCAGCCGAAACTAATTAAGTCATGCTAGCCAACAGTTTGGTTAGCAGCTAAAATAAATTAAGTCATGTTAGCTAACTTTTTGGGTAGCAGCTACAACATATTGGAAGCAGTTAAATAAGGTCTGGCTAGCTAACACATTGGCAGCCAAACCAGATTTAAACCCTTTTATTCATCTCGGACTGTGATTTGATCCTAAAAAATTCTAATTAAGCAGAACATTTGTTGAGATTACAGCCAGATTTTCAGCTCGGAGTCTTTCATGAAGTGAACTTTCAGTCTTTTCGTGCTTGAGTCAGCATTTGTCTTCAGACGTTGTGCCCATTTCCTGAAACCCCGACGAGAACAAGTTAAAATTCAGAGTAAAACTGATGGAAACTCTTTAAGTACCTTTTGGATGTGAAAGTAGCAGAACATTAAAATGACCTTTAGTTGATGTTGGCGGTGAACTCGCACCGTCCTCCTGTCATAACCATGTGTTAGAATGAGTCTGTGCGCTAAACGGTTACCGAGAGACGCCGACAGCAATACGAAGATGTGACTTCATGGCCAGTGTAGCTAAAGAAAAAAAAAAAACTAAGAAAAGAAAAAAAACCCAACCGTGGCTGAAGAGTGATATGACTGTTGCCATCCAGCACATCCCCCCTTCTCATAGCAGTGAGTCATGCTAGACGAGCTTAGGTGATAAACTTTAGGTCTGTATGTTAGAATAAAAAGCCCAACGATACAGTAGCATCATAAAAACACGGTAAATAAATCCAGAGAGGTGGTTTCTTTCTTTGCCGAGGCACCGACCATGTTTCCACTGCCTTCTGACAAAAAGACGTGTACTTCTGTTTGTTCGTTTGTTGGTTTGTCTCTTTGTTTGTTTATGGGGATGTTGCGTAACAACAACAACAAAAAAAAAACAAAAAACAAAAACATGGACTTATTCCAGAAATCATTTAACAAGAGAATATGTATATGAAGAGGACTTTGAGAAAATAAAAATAAAAAGAGGCTCTATTATAGACACAGTTTTAACACCAGATCGATTCTACTGAGATATAAAACAATAAAAGATTGCTAACATGACAAAGAGTAATAAATAATAAAAAGACTAATGTTTGAAACGAAGCGTGTGTCGTGGTTTTACTGTGGAGGTGAAGCGGCGCCTCCTCCCTCCATCCCTCCATCCATCCATCCATCCATCCATCCCTCCATCCATCCCTCCATCCATCCATCCATCCATCCATCCATCCATCCATCCATCCATCCATCCCTCCCTCCATCCAGTGAGGTTTGTAGCGACGATGATGGACGCCGGGTTGGAGTTCATTCATTTTTAATGAGGGAGAGTCCCTGAGCTGCCACATGTCTCAGCACTCACTTCATATCGATCGAGACGAGGAGGAGGAGGAGGAGGAGGAGGAGGAGG